CATCACCACCCACCGCCAACTCTTGGGCTACTCTTTTACCAACGAATAGTGGGATTGACCGACATATTATAACGCCCCCACAGCTGAAAGGGCGAGCATGTTTGGTGGGACGGGGATTCGAACCCACGACCCTCCGATTGCGAGTCGAGCGCCTTATCCACCTGGCCATGCCGGGCCCCATTCAAAATGAAAGAAAACAATGTGCATACTGTTTTCAAGTAGTTTGATTCAAAAATAACTTTTATATATATATATATATATACCAGACTATTTTCGGACATTGCGGGTTTTACCGAATGTTTAGTCTCGATGTTATTTTTGAACATGATAGTCATTAGACATAAATTTTATGCTAACTACAATCACTTCTATTTTTTTAAGATTTCAGTTTTCTTCTTTTCTTTCCTTCTCTTTTTTATTGTTCTTTCCTTTTTTCTCCCCTTTTTTCAATACACATATATCCTGTTCATAAACTATTCCAATTAACCTGCCATGTCCCTCGGTGGGACAGTGGTAAGTTTACAGACTTACAACGCTAAAATTCGGGGTTCGATTCCTCGTGGGTGACACAGCAGATAGCCCAATGTGATTTTGCTCTAAAGCAAACAAACAAACAGTTAACCCGAGACCGTGGTTATGATTCCTTCTCACTGTTTACTCTTTATTCTAGACCAGCCTGGTCTGAATGCAAAGTGGGCCTAACGAAATCTCATCGTCGTTGGACGTTCTGGAAAAATTACAATCTACAATCTTTCGTAAGGGTTTTGTAGATCGTCATAGAATTTCTGAAATAAATATAGTAGAGGTTATTATATTTTTTAGACTATTTAAACATGGAAAAGTGGTGGTCTCTGCCGATGTTTTACTTTTATTTCTCTTACGTTGGGAGAAAGGAATCAATGTCAGCGATATCTCGTAGGGTTCTTTGTTTTAAGATTTTACCTTTTTTTGCCAATTATTTCTCACTTTAAAAAAATTAACTTTACATGTTGCATTCGATTTAAATCCATATTTAGCTTTATTCAGTCTTGAGTAATTACGCTATTGCACAAACACCTCTTAAACAATGGCTATCTGATAGACTTTCAAATAAACATTACTTGCTAATTTCTAAACAATAAATTCCAGCCATCCGCTACTTTGCACATCGTTCCCAAATTTTCCCTCACTATCTGTCTTCCTTTTATGGGATGACAAAACTTACAACTTAAAAAACAACTCTTCTCCTTAGTAAAAGACGTCTATAGACGTAGCCCCGGCACGGCAT